ACCAGACCTTATCAAGAAGTTGTTTATAGAACAATTAGCGTATTAAGAACTAATACACAAACAGGAAAACGATTAGAGTCAGAAGTGTTAAACACCTATAAAGGGTTCCTCGCTCTGAAGGAACGGTTTTAGGGTAATATATCACATACTCAATACTTCTTCAAAGATAACTGGTGACAGTAAGTTCTTAAACAAAATTACATAGTTTACATAGTAAACGGTTTAGTACATGTATAATTACACGTCGAGATTACACAGGTCAATCTCCATCTATTATGACTACAGACTTCGGTGTGGACTAATATCGAAGTTAGTCCATCTCTTTCCATTATCTCATATCCTTAAAATATATTATTGTATTTATCTCCTTTACATGTGTTTTGTTCTTGTTTCCCTCTGACGATTATCTTCCTTGGTCACGTGGTTATTAAAGTCCGTTATATTTACACTAAAACCATTAACTAATATGTTTTTTTTCGGTCGACGATAGGTACATTAATCAACTCGTTGTAATTAACCTCGTGATACACATACTCATTCATAGATATATCTTTGACTACCCCGTGTTGAGTACATTTGACCATGTACTTATACTGAAGGTGAATTACTGAAAATTCTTCGTTCCGTCAGCAACCTGTCTTACTGGGAATTGTAAAGTAGTGTAAATGATGAGTTTAAGATTGAAGTTGGAATAAACGTATTGATGCTGACGTCAAAAGAAAAAAAAAACTTGTCTGTAAGACGTATTTCGGGGAGATTAATGCGAGTTTGAAGATATCAACTGAATAACTAGTACTTTGTAGTTGGTGTTCCAAGAGTTTTGCACGAAGTTAATCATTTAATATGTGCAATGAAATAGGTTCACTGTGTACTGTAAAGTTTCCTGTCGGCATTAAAGACGTCTGTTACCTGTTTCAGACTCTGCTGTCACATTCCGTGGCGTTGATTGAACCTCCCCCGCTCGTAAAATAGAGCTGTACTTATACCACAAAGTCAGGCATCGTATCGATTCGACACGTCAAGTTACCAGCAATTATATAGCCTAGGAATTTTGAGTGGAAATACATGATTCTATTGGATATATAGGTCCCCGCCGGTTCTAACATGGTTACTCGGTTTGCTTGTATATTTCAGCACTGAACTAGATAATAAATATTGGATTAATAACTTCAACTTTTAGATCAAATTATTCCGTAGACGTTATAACTATGGACAAACAATCCATAGCTTCCACATAAAACACTGAATGATTCCTCTCATCTCAAGGACCCTCACAAAACAAGATCGGAGAATCCCTCACAAAAAACAAGACCAATAATCCTTCCAAACCAAGGTCAAATAATTCCTCCCAAACCAAGGTCAAATAATTCGTAACAAAAACGAATAATTCCTTCCAAATTAAGACCTCATAGTTCCCCACGCATTTGTTGACGATAGTAAATAATAGTTATACAATTTGATGTAAATTTGTTAAGAAATGTTATGAAAAACAGGGTTGTTACAACTTTAACAGGAATGTGTAACTATAAGTACTTTCAACAAATCCAGAATGTCTTGGAAAACAAATAGTCATATGTTTAATGTCCATCAGTCTGATTTAACTAGGGTCTGCTCAGACAGACAATTGTTTATAGTGTTGTTTACTAAACACATATTTCCATAGCCATGTGGGTAATATTGTACAGAGTTAATTTGTAGGTACGTATCATTTGGGTAAGTGTTTTTGATTCATTTTAACTTATTTTCATTATTATCGTTAAACAGACTTACTAAAAAATACAAACAAGGCATTTGTGATGTAGGGCAAGCAGTCGAGTACTCTAGAGATTTAAGCGGAAACGTATTTGCATAGCAAGCACGAGCTGCCTACAAGTGCACTCACATGCTTGTACATCCAATTGAAAAATGCATGGAATGAGTTATTTAAGTGGTTTCTTTTTCTGTTTAATTAACTGTGTCAATGGTAGCAAACGGAGATAAATAATGCGGATACCGTTGTGTTTCAGACGCCTTACTGGTGTTAGGTATTTTGTGGATGTTTATTCTGCTATCAATATCTATGGATAAATTGTTTATCTTAAACGATTTCAAACACCTTGGTACTAAATTTAGACTATCATGATCAGCAGATATATATCATCTTCAGTTTATATCAAACATATACCTGATCATTTGATCATTCATGCGTAAATCCTCTATGATGACGCAGAGTAAACAAAAAAAAAAAAATAAGATAATATCCTGCAAATGTATGCAGGCAACAGACATGTTCCAGAAATGTAGATAATTTCTATATAAACATGGCTGTTACGAATCAATTTAAATTTTGTGAAAGGAAGAACGTGAGAGATGTAATCGGAGAGATAAGGCGATATTTCTAGAGTTTTACTAGTTAGACAACTTTCATCACCGTTTTGAAATTGCCTTTCTTAATACTTTTAACACTGAGTATTTTTCTACCATATGCGTTTCAGAAAACTGCTATAATTTATAACAAGTTACTAATCACACAGTAGTCTTCTAGGTCCAGTAACACAATAACGTCAGACACGGTCACACAGTAGTCTTCTAGGTCCAGTATGTCCAGTAACACAATAACGTCAGACACGGTCACACAGTAGTCTTCTAGGTCCAGTAACACAATAACGTCAGACACGGTCACACAGTAGTCTTCTAGGTCCAGTAACACAATAACGTCAGACACGGTCACACAGTAGTCTTCTTGGTCCGGTAACACAATAACGTCAGGCACGGTCACACAGTAGTCTTCTAGGTCCGGTAACTCAATAACGTCAGACACGGTCACGCAGTAGTCTTCTAGGTCCGGTAATACAATAAAATCAGACACGGTCACACAGTAGTCTTCTAGGTCCGGTAACACAATAATGTCAGACACGGTCACACAGTAGACTTCTAGGTCCGGTAACACAATAACCTCAGACACGGTCACACAGTAGTCTTCTGTGTCCAGTAACACAATAACGTCAGACACGGTCACACAGTAGTCTTCTAGGTCCAGTAACACAATAACCTCAGACACGGTCACGCAGTAGTCTTCTATGTCCAGTAACACAATAACGTCAGACACGGTCACACAGTAGTCTTCTAGGTCCAGTAACACAACAACGTCAGACACGGTCAAACAGTAGTCTTCTGGGTCCAGTAACACAATAACGTCAGACACGGTCACACAGTAGTCTTCTAGGTCCAGTAACACAATAACGTCAGACACGGTCACACAGTAGTCTTCTAGGTCCAGTAACACAATAACGTCAGACACGGTCACACAGTAGACTTCTAGGTCCGGTAACACAATAACGTCAGACACGGTCACACAGTAGTCTTCTAGGTCCAGTAACACAATAACGTCAGACACGGTCACACAGTAGTCTTCTAGGTCCGGTAACACAATAACGTCAGACACGGACACACAGTAGTCTTCTTGGTCCGGTAACACAATAACGTCAGGCACTGTCACACAGTAGTCTTCTAGGTCCGGTAACACAATAACGTCATACACGGTCACACAGTAGTCTTCTAGGTCCGGTAACACAATAATGTCAGACACGGTCACACAGTAGACTTCTAGGTCCGGTAACACAATAACCTCAGACACGGTCACACAGTAGTCTTCTATGTCCAGTAACACAATAACGTCAGACACGGACACACAGTAGTCTTCTAGGTCCAGTAACACAATAATGTCAGACACGGTCACACAGTAGTCTTCTAGGTCCAGTAACACAATAACGTCAGACACGGTCACACAGTAGTCTTCTAGGTCCGGTAATACAATAACCTCAGACACGGTCAAACAGTAGTCTTCTAGGTCCAGTAACACAATAACGTCAGACACGGTCACACAGTAGTCTTCTAGGTCCAGTAACACAATAATGTCAGACACGGTCACACAGTGATCCTAAACGGACGTCGATACCAATGTATCAAGCCGCGACACGAACTGAAAGCGATCCCTAATATTAATGTGTTTTTTTCCCATTTAATATCCTAGAACCGATTGTTTCAAAGATGGCTGCGATATCTTACTCGGTAGAGCATTACGCTTTTGCAACCTTACCTGTGACGACTTGTGTCTCATTGAGATATCGGACGATCCTGTGCTGTTATTGTTATGTCCTTGAGAAAGACATAACGTCAATTATCCTACCTGCCCTGGATATCACGTGTCGGAGCTCTCGCTTGATGACCATCAAGTCACCAGTTATAAAGTTATATAAGGGGACAACACCTCAAAATGACTCTTGTTTGTTCAGGGGGCGAAAAATTCAGTAAATAAACGACATAAGATCACCTAAGCTGGTCCGTAAAATACAACAACTGGTGTTAGATATCGTTAGCATGTTTTGTAGTCTAAATATTATACTACCAAATTTGCCGTTATCTATCAAAAGTTTATACTTCCATATTTTTGTACGGGGAGGTATTAGGGAGTCTTTGTTCGCCAGTATAGGTCGCAAACTAGTCGCTTGGTTCCTTTCTATCCTGTTCATAAACAAACTTAGTTACCTCTTTGACTAGAGCACACAATCCACAAACTTAGGTTTCCTTGCGATCTTGGCATTTGAATACAAAGCCTCGATATCGTAATTAAACATGGCGTATGCTGTCAAATTCAAAGAACTACATTCCTATTGCCCTGTTCTCTCGTCGGGTCGCGATACTTGCATGCAAACCCAACATGTATTCCTGTTAAATTTCGCGTAAACCTGTCACCATGCTGACACGGCAAATGTAGCATTTACATTCTCTTGTAGTTGGTGTAACGCGTATCTGATGGACAAAGTGACAGTTCTGTAGACGCTGAGAACGAGGCTATTACAGAACATAGTACTAAATCTATTTCCGTTTATTACGATATCACGGAACAACACACGTGATTTGGCGAGTTTTGTAATTGCGAACGAGATGATAACGCTAATTGTGTAAGGTTTGTGTTGTGGCCATGTTTCAATGCGGCTTGTGTTAGATAAATGATTACGTCAGGACACAGTGGCGTTTATACCAGAACACGTACTTACACCATGTCGTTGATGCAGTAATTCTGGTGAGCAACAATATATTTAGGTAAGAACAGGTCTACGAATAGACCTTCGTGAGCCCTAAACGCCTGCTAATTAACACTATTTAATTCATCCCTGATATGTGTGAGGTTCTCGTGCTTGTAATGTAGAAAAGAAGAAACTTTTTCCTTGTAACTTGTCAAAATGATATCAGAGTTATATATAGGGAAATGAAACGAAATCAGATAAGTATGTATTAGATTATCTATAACATTGCAAATATTTTATTTATTACATGTGCCAAAATAGATTCTAAGCCACAGCAAATCTCCGAGAAAATTGCAAAATAAAACTGCAAATTGCAATTCGCCAACGTTCTAAACACTTCTGTATGATATACTACAAACGTGTGTATTAGGCATGGCAAATCAAACCAGATCTTTTAAACCACTATAATCTGGTTAAGTTCAAGCAGTGAGAACATAGTGGGAACAATGATTACTGCCAGCCAATGATATTGCAGACATCATTGCGCAAAAACCACAGGTTTAGAAACATATCGTGTGATATTATCTTTTTTTACACAATGTAATGATAAGACAAAGTCGTTATTATTACTTTTCCTTTATATATAATGTAATGTTAATCGATTTCCTGGTTCGACAGTACATGTTGGAAATCTTGGTTTCTTTGGAGTATATTTGCTAAAATTTATACAGTTATTTTGCTTGGAATTTGAGTTCCATGTATCTGTGTGTCCATCACGTAGAGTACCCTGGTTTAACGGTCATTTAACAACGGGTTTTAGGTGTTTAGTGTAGAGCAGAATTCAATAGGAAGGTTTAGAGACTACTCTGAAACCAGCTGGTGGCAATTGGAATGGGTTTAGATATAGATATTTAAATCCGTGTAATTAGAAATCTGAAATCCAACAAAACGTCTGACACCCTCCAGAATTTAGTGTACTAGTCAGGTTGTACTACCCTTGTTAACTGTCATTTCTTTCAGGTCCTGGACTTATCATTCACTCTCTTAATTGATTTTAAATCGCTTTTGTTTTTATAACATCGTCATCACCATCAATCATCATCATCAACAACATATCATCATCAATTTTCTTCAGATTGTGTTGCTATGCAAGACTGACACCTAATTTCCATAATAATATTAACGTGAATGTAACATGCAATATGAATTTAACATGCTGGACCTTTTTAAATTCCTCCACACTCGTTTATACTCAATCTCTATCATCACCTTATATTTAATTTGTATTTAAGATACAGATGCTGACAAGACGTCTGTACTCTGATGGTATAATGTGATGGGTGTTACAGTTCTATACTGATTTACTACTGTATCTGTAGCACAGCCCAAACAAATATTCACTCCGTCCGGTGGGTGTTGACTTGTTCAACAGTGAACTCCGGAGAATTAATATACCAGTTTCACAATCACAGACGGAAAGCTGGTGAATCTTATATGGAGTCTTTTATATTGAACCATCATAATTGTATATTGAAATCCTGGAGGAAGGGTTTCAAATGAGATTTGATATTGACAACGATGAATGTAGTCTATATAGAGACATGTAGCACTGATGCAATTCTCAGCATTTTAACAACTTACTAACTCTCCGTACCCTTTAAGCATGTCTAAGCTAAAATTTGTTTGGACATGTCAGATCAGGTGCCATTTTTCTTCAGAACTCTTTTTATATTTACACAAACTCGTTCAGCAGCTTGTAGGTCGACAGACAGAAAATAATCTACAACAGATAAAGTCATAGGAAAGTTTGTTTATTTTAACATATTTAAAAAAAAAAGTTTTTTTTTGTCTTTCCAAGAGCTGCAGAAGACATCGTCGATGTTTTTGGTTGATATACCAGTGATTGCCGTCTATAATCTGATCTTGTGCGCCAGAACGGCGTAAATATAAGTTTTCTTTACTCTGACTCGCAGCACAGCTGTTGTATAGTATCAACTTATACAAACAGACACGATTGATGTATTACATTTTTTTCCCTGTGAGCTTAAGTCCGTCCTCGTTACTCCTCTGACCGGAGGTGAGGGTGTATATGGAGTGTACAGAAGATTAACGATTATTATGAGAGTTGGTTTTAAAAATGACAATGCACAAGTTATAAGACATTGCCATACCTTATAACACGATATTAGGTCATTAATCACAATAAGGATATTAAAAGTCCATTATAAAATGTCTGAATCTTTGGGAGAGACAGTTTCGAAAGGTAACGTCGGGCGTTTACATATTTTGTTTACATTTGAAGTAGATATGGGATTATTTTCAAAAATGTTATTACATTTTAATTTTTTAGTAGCAAAGCTGTAGAGATTGCGACAAGAGATGACCATGTATAAAGTAAGGTAACCTCTATCATTTATTTATATCTTATTTTTTTACAGACGTACGTCAGAGAAAAAATCCTAAGTAGATAAACTCTCGGTACAATATACTTAACAGGAATGTTACAGCAAACTTAACATATAAACACAGGATTAACAGTTATCAGTAAAGAAAACAAATAATTCAACTTGATTGGATTTCAAAGTCACAGATTTATATAAAACTCATGGCGGTACGGTCTGTCAGTAGACCTTAACAACACTCAAATGGTCGCAAATGTCAATCAAACGATTTAATTGATTGATTCTGGTAAGCAAATGTCAATCAAACCATTTAATTGATTGATTCTGGTAAGCATGTGTCAATTAAACGATTTAATTGATTGATTCTGGTAAGCAAATGTCAATCAAACGATTTAATTGATTGATTCTGGTAAGCAAATGTCAATCAAACGATTTAATTGATTGATTCTGGTAAGCAAATGTCAATCAAACCATTTAATTGATTGATTCTGGTAAGCAAATGTCAATCAAACCATTTAATTGATTGATTCTGGTCAGCAAATGTCAATTAAACCATTTAATTTATTGATTCTGGTCAGCAAATGTCAATTAAACCATTTAATTGATTGATTCTGGTCAGCAAATTCCAATAAATCAATCAATATTATTCAACAAATTCTAAACAATTGATCGGCTGATCCTGGGAAACACAACGAATACTCACAAATCATATGACAATAACGATCAGCCTCGCCTTAAAAGACTTAAACTGAGACAAGAAAAGTTGAAAATAGAACAAGTATTTTTCAGGGAGGGATGATAAAAGGAAGTGTCAAGATGATAGAATTTTCATAAACCTGTACAACGGTACTTGTGTTCAGAGTAAGAAGTACTTGTACACAACAGTAAGTGTTACATGCTTAAAACACTACACGTTACACATACAAAACATAAAAAATTACGTGTAAACAGTTAACGATTCTCTTGCTACACGTGATCAGCAGTAAACGTTACATAAGTATAAGTGTGAAAGTTACACGTGTATTACATTAAATTTTACACATGTATAACATTCAACGTTGTACGCGTATAGCAATAAAAATTACATCTGTATGACAGTTATAATGCATGCGTGTAACACTAAACGTTACGCGTGTATAACACTTTATATTGCATGTGTATAACAATTAAATTTACTCTCTATAACACTAAAATTACACATGTATGACAGTACATATTACACGTGTATAACATTAAAGGTTGCACGTGTATAGCAGTTAATATCATCCATGTATAACATGAAACGTTACACTTGCATAACAGTATTATTTACATCTGCACAGAAGTAAATATTACACGTGTATAACAGTTGATATTATCCATGTATAACATGATACGTTAAACTTGCATAACAGTATCATTTACATCTGCACAGAAGTAAATATTACACGTGTATAACAGTTGACGTTACACGTGTATCACTGCAAACGTTACACGTGTATAAAAGTAAACTTTACACGTGTATTACATTAAACATACACTTGTATAACAGTAAATGAAACACATGACATACGCGTATTCTATTGACCGTGACAAATATTTATAGATTGTACCATTGTAGAATTAAACTAGTTAAATGTCATTTTGAACTCGGATCCGCTTCATATATTGTTAAAAAATGTCGATATCTGTGAACGAATTATCACTTTTTATTTGCCTACCTAACGCTATTTTCTTTTAGGAAGTAATTAGAATATCACGTGATTTAACACATTTTTTTTCCAGATGAAAATGACAATGGTGGAACCTATGCTTTTATTTACCAAACCGATCACGTGGCATTAAAATTTGTGCTTTATTTTTTTCAGATTTCATCATGGACTCGCTGATTGACGGACTGGATTCCGAGAAATGGCAGGAGACTGACGAGTCCAGTCTAGGAGAAGGTATAGCTTGACTGATCTTATACTTTAACTTAATAGTTTGGAATTTATTACCCAACAACTTTATAACCCATTCGCTATAATCATAAAGTTTAAACTTGAATATATTTAACGTATTTCAATATGGCCACTATTATATCGATGTTCGTCCATTGAAACATCCTAATCGGGAGATAGGCTACCACGCATCTTTAAAAACTGTTCCTTGAATCAGTGTGGATGTGAGGGGTTTGGCCATTGTTCGGAAAAAAACGGGTACCAGGCCTGGACTGTACAGGGTGGTGACGTTGTTCGAAGTTACAGGGATCAGGCCTGGACTGTACAGGGTGATGACATTGTTCTAACTTACGGGGACCAGGTCTGGACTGTACAGGGTGATGACGTTGTTCTAACTTACGGGGACCAGGTCTGGACTGTACAGGGTGATGACGTCGTTCGAACTTACGGGGACCAGATCTGGACTGTACAGGGTGATGCCATTGTTCGAAACTATGTATCAAGTTCCGGAAATTTATGGGGACCAGATTCGTAAACTAACGGGGACCAAATAAGGCCTGTAGGGGGTGATAGCGTTATTCAAATTGAAGTAACCATTAGAAGCTTTATATTGTCTGAGAGGAATTATAATAGTGTCGTTCTAAGCTTTTAAGTGTAATATGATTATTTGGTGATGTTTGAGTGAGTCTCTGTTATTTATCATTTGGTCATCGTTTGTAATTGTTTCGGCACGCACTTAGACTGGAGGGTGGTGAAACGTGACTGCTTTGTCAATTCGTTTTCGTTTTTATCATCAGAAAACGTATTCACGAAGGAAGGGACCAGGTTTTATGAAGCTGTATTAGTTATTAGCCATGATCCGACAAATCAAAGCTCCAACATGTTGTCTTCTTGTATTTTACCAATCTTAGTTTGATATATGATTCCAGTTAGATGGGTCAAAGTCCATTCGTAATGAGACTGGTTCCTAAATGTAGAAAGGCTTGATTCGGAAGAAAAAATCAGTTGATCGACGTTTTATTTTGTGACGGTCAAAGTTTGATTTTTCCTTTACAATAACCACAGTAATCTAATTGAACTCAAAATTGTAAACTGTTACCTGACAATTCTGAGGCCAATAACAATCCAGGAGAACCCCCTCCCCTGTTGTGAGACCAATTACAAGCCAGGAGAACCCCCATCCCTGTTGTGAGACCAATTACAAGCCAGGAGAACCCCCTCCCCAGTTGTGAGACCAATAACAATCCAGGAGAACCCCCTCCCCAGTTGTGAGACCAATAACAATCCAGGAGAACCCCCTCCCCAGTTGTGAGACCAATTACAAGCCAGGAGAACCCCCTCCCCAGTTGTGAGACCAATAACAAGCCAGGAGAACCCCCTCCCCAGTTGTGAGACCAATAACAATCCAGGAGAACCCCCTCCCCAGTTGTGAGACCAATTACAATCCAGGAGAACCCCCTCCCCAGTTGTGAGACCAATTACAAGCCAGGAGAACCCCCTCCCCAGTTGTGAGACCAATAACAATCCAGGAGAACCCCCTCCCCAGTTGTGAGACCAATTACAGAACCCCCTCCCCAGTTGTGAGGAGAACCCCCTCCCCAGTTGTGAGACCAATAACAATCCAGGAGAACCCCCTCCCCAGTTGTGAGACCAATAACAATCCAGGAGAACCCCCTCCCCAGTTGTGAGACCAATAACAATCCAGGAGAGCCCCCTCCCCAGTTGTGAGACCAATAACAATCCAGGAGAACCCCCTCCCCAGTTGTGAGACCAATTACAAGCCAGGAGAACCCCCTCCCCAGTTGTGAGACCAATTACAAGCCAGGAGAACCCCCTCCCCAGTTGTGAGACCAATAACAATCCAGGAGAACCCCCTCCCCAGTTGTGAGACCAATTACAAGCCAGGAGAACCCCCTCCCCAGTTGTGAGACCAATAACAATCCAGGAGAACCCCCTCCCCAGTTGTGAGACCAATAACAATCCAGGAGAACCCCCTCCCCAGTTGTGAGACCAATAACAATCCAGGAGAACCCCCTCCCCAGTTGTGAGACCAATTACAATCCAGGAGAACCCCCTCCCCAGTTGTGAGACCAATTACAAGCCAGGAGAACCCCCTCCCCAGTTGTGAGACCAATAACTTACAACTCCACAATCCAGAGAACTGTTGTGAAACTGTTACCAATGACAAGCCAGGAGAACCCCCTCCCCAGTTGTGAGACCAATAACAATCCAGGAGAACCCCCTCCCCAGTTGTGAGACCAATAACAATCCAGGAGAACCCCCTCCCCAGTTGTGAGACCAATTACAAGCCAGGAGAACCCCCTCCCCAGTTGTGAGACCAATTACAAGCCAGGAGAACCCCCTCCCCAGTTGTGAGACCAATAACAATCCAGGAGAACCCCCTCCCCAGTTGTGAGACCAATTACAAGCCAGGAGAACCCCCTCCCCAGTTGTGAGACCAATTACAAGCCAGGAGAACCCCCTCCCCAGTTGTGAGACCAATAACAATCCAGGAGAACCCCCTCCCCAGTTGTGAGACCAATACAAGCCAGGAGAACAAGACCAATTACCAGGAGAACCCCCTCCCCAGTTGTGAGACCAATAACAATCCAGGAGAACCCCCTCCCCTGTTGTGAGACCAATTACAAGCCAGGAGAACCCCCTCCCCAGTTGTGAGACCAATAACAATCCAGGAGAACCCCCTCCCCAGTTGTGAGACCAATAACAATCCAGGAGAACCCCCTCCCCCAGGAGAACCCCCTCCCCAGTTGTGAGACCAATAACAATCCAGGAGAACCCCCTCCCCAGTTGTGAGACCAATTACAATCCAGGAGAACCCCCTCCCCAGTTGTGAGACCAATTACAAGCCAGGAGAACCCCCTCCCCTGTTGTCTAACTTAGACTCCAAACTGTAAACTGTTACCTGACAATTTTGAGACCAATAACAATCCAGGAGAACCCCCTCCCCAGTTGTGAGACCAATTACAAGCCAGGAGAACCCCCTCCCCAGTTGTGAGACCAATAACAATCCAGGAGAACCCCCTCCCCAGTTGTCCGACTTAGACTCGAAATTGTAAACGGTTATCTAACAACTCTGAGTCCAGTTACAAGCCAGAAGGAAAGCAACACCTATTTACAACATGATAGGAATAGTTAATGAACATTGCAAATGGATTTTATAACATTATTTCATACATCTTTTGAATGCCAATAGAAAAGATAATTAAGAGAAAAGAGAAACAAACCTCATACAAAATTTGGCGTCAAAAGTAAAACACGATTCCTTTGAGTGAGAAGTGATTACTGAGAGTTAAGCCTCTTTTCTCTGACAAGGGGCGTGTCAGTGACGAGGTATATAGACCTCACGCCTCATAGTGGTATATATATATTGGATTTATTTAAGACAATGCAGTGACAGTAATTGGGAATATTTGTTGTGTGATGAATTGTTTTACACTTTCAACAATGAAGTTATATAGTTAATCAAAGAAAAGTCATCCCTAAGGGTGTGAGGAACACGAGGGGATGAGAGAGGAAATGACGGTAGATTTAAACACATGGCCTCGATCACACTGGAAGTAGACAGCCTCGTTACGATGTAGGTTTGATAAATGACCTCCCTCTTTATTTATAAACTACACAGGCCCAACTTATTCTCTTTGTATTATACAGTAAACCATACGGTAAATCTTCGATACAGATAATTATTTTTATAAAGTTTAATGATAAAACTTCGATACAGATAATTATTTTTATAAAGTTTAATGATAAAACTTCGATACAGATAATTATTTTTATAAAGTTTAATGATAAAACTTCGATACAGATAATTATTTTTATAAAGTTTAATGATGATAAAAAACTTCAGATAATTATTTTTATAAAGTTTAATTATTTAACTTCGATACAGATAATTATTTTTATAAAGTTTAATGATTAAACTTCGATACAGATCATTATTTTTATAAAGTTTAATTATTAAACTTCGATACAGATAATTATTTTTATAAATTATTTTTATAAAGTTTAATTATGATAAAACTTCGATACAGATAATTATTTTTATAAAGTTTAATTATTAAACTTCGATACAGATAATTATTTTTATAAAGTTTAATTATTAATTAAACTTCGATACAGATAATTATTTTTATAAAGTTTAATGATAAAACTTCGATACAGATAATTATTTTTATAAAGTTTAATTATTTAACTTCGATACAGATAATTATTATTTTTATAAAGTTTAATTATTATTTAACTTCGATACAGATAATTATTTTTATAAAGTTTAATTATTTTGTGACGCTATTACATCGGTCTAAAGACTTTGATTTTCCTAATTAAACAAATGATTATATATGGATAAGGGGACGTAACAAAAGAAAGTAGAAAAGAAAATACATACATGTTTGTAACATAATCTACACAGTAGTCTTATTGAAACCATTTGTAAATTTTTATTTATACAATTAAAAATCCATCAAACTAAACCTCATTATCTTCGGAGATTTCTTCATTTTGCTTCCTGCAAAATCTACACAGGTACTTCAACACATTATACGTTATGTATAGAAAGAGACGGAGAAAAGGTCAACTTGCCTAAAAACACATAACCTACAATATACACGTGCGTCAATTAATCCCCGGACGGTAAACTAAAGAAACAAACAAAGACAAAACCAACAAATAACCTTGCTGAAAGGCTTACAACATGCCGTAGTTATTCGGTGTTTTACAATGTGTTAAGTACATTCCAAACGGTTGTACCAAAACAATATACGTGCAGTACAGCCTCAATGAAACTGTGAAGTTCACTGACAACTTTACAAACCAGACGTCTGGCCTCCGATTCGTGGCTTTAATCGTCAGTCTGCTGGTCTTCAACAACGTTGTCAGTGCATGCATGTTTGACAAATATTCCGCAGTTCATTTACTATTGTGTGTTTAAAGAGTGGATCATCGCACAACAGTTTCCTAGTTTTGATTGCAATTATGATAAACTACGTTATTCAAATAGTAGTTCCTATAACACAACCAGTAGAAGATTAGAGTGTGACGTTTCGATGACTACACTGTCAACTTCATCTCATAACACAACCAGTAGAAGATTAGAGTGTGACGTTTCGATGACTACACTGTCAACTTCATCTTATAACACAACCAGTAGAAGATTAGAGTGTGACGTTTCGATGACTACACTGTCAACTTCATCTTATAACACAACCAGTAGAAGACTAGAGTGAGATGTTTTGATGACTACACTGTCACCTTCATGTTATCATACAATAGTAGAAGATTAGAGTGTGACGTTTCGATTACTACACGGTCACCTTTATCTTATAACACACCAGTAGAAGATTAGAGTGTGACAATTCGATGACTACACTGCCACCTTCGTCTGATCTTCTACTGGTTGTGTTATAAGATGAAGTTGACCGTGTAGTCATCGATACGTCACACTTTAATCTTCTACTGGTTGTGTTATAGGAACTACTATTCTATTGAAATTACCAACCCGAAGAAAATGTACAGAAACTAAGTTGTTGATTAACGCCTCATCATTAACGCTATATATTCTATTCATACAACATATTTTTTTCTTATTTTTTCGCAATTTTTATGTTGTGAAAATATAGACTTTAACTAGTCTAAAAAGCACGCGAAACGATGTAATATGACGACATCACGAACTTCGACAAGAAAGAACGACAATATAATTGGTTACATTATATAGATGTACGTGTACAACAGGCGTTGGTTACATATATAAATGTACATGTACAACAAGCGTTGGTTACATTATATAAATGTACATGTACAACAAGCGTTGGTTACATTATATAGATGTACGTGTACAACAGGCGTTGGTTACATATATAAATGTACATGTACAACAAGCGTTGGTTACATATATAAATGTACATGTACAACAAGCGTTGGTTACATGTATAAATGTACATGTACAACAAGCGTTGGTTACATTATATAAATGTACGTGTACAACAAGCGTTGGTTACATTATATAGATGTACGTGTACAACAGGCGTTGGTTACATATATAAATGTACATGTACAACAAGCGTTGGTTACATATATAAATGTACATGTACAACAAGCGTTGGTTACATGTATAAATGTACATGTACAACAAGCGTTGGTTACATATATAAATGTACGTGTACAACAAGCGTTGGTTACATTATATAAATGTACATGTACAACAAGCGTTGGTTACATATATAAATGTACGTGTACAACAAACGTTGGTTACATATATAAATGTACGTGTACAACAGGCGTTGGTTACATATATAAATGTACATGTACAACAAGCGTTGGTTACATATATAAATGTACATGTACAACAAGCGTTGGTTACATGTATAAATGTACATGTACAACAAGCGTTGGTTACATATATAAATGTACGTGTACAACAAGCGTTGGTTACATTATATAAATGTACATGTACAACAAGCGTTGGTTACATTATATAAATGTACATGTACAACAAGCGTTGGTTACATATATAAATGTACATGTACAACAAGCGTTGGTTACATGTATAAATGTACGTGTACAACAAGCGTTGGTTACATTATATAAATGTACATGTACAACAAGCGTTGGTTACATTATATAAATGTACATGTACAACAAGCGTTGGTTACATTATATAAATGTGAAACAAGCGTTGGTTACATTAAATAAATGTACAACACGCGTTGGTTACATTATATAAATGTACGTGTACAACAAGCGTTGGTTACATTATATAAATGTACATGTACAACAAGCGTTGGTTACATTATATAAATGTACGTGTACAACAAGCGTTGGTTACATTATATAAATGTACATGTACAACAAGCGTTGGTTACATTATATAAATGTACATGTACAACAAGCGTTGGTTACATTATATAAATGTGAAACAAGCGTTGGTTACATTAAATAAATGTACAACACGCGTTGGTTACATTATATAAATGTACGTGTACAACAAGCGTTGGTTACATTATATAAATGTACGTGTACAACAGGCGTTGGTTACATATATAGATGTACGTGTACAACAAGCGTTGGTTACATTATATAGATGTGAAACAAGCGTTGGTTACATTATATAAATGTACGTGTACAACAAGCGTTGGTTACATTATATAAATGTACGTGTACAACAAGCGTTGGTTACATTATATAAATGTACATGTACAACAAGCGTTGGTTACGATAAATTATGGATTATTAACGTGAACGAGATAAATTGACTGCATGTCACGTGACACGTGTAGAGTGGAATGTTACATCGTTTTACTTTATCAAATTAGTGATTTTCTATTATTTTTGTAGATACCTGTGGGGTGTAACTTTATAACTAGATATCTTACATTTCTCTTCATTTGGGGTGTTAATCAACATTGCATATTTATACAAAATTTAAAGTCGTGGAAAGACCGCGTGCGCTTTCGCAACCCTACCGGCTACCATAGATCAATGCAAACAAGTTTGGTTACTTTTATTTAGAGACTAGAGAATGTTTATGAAACCTAATTAGTCAGTGTTTATCTGGGAAATTTATAGTTAAACCTAGGTTCTATTCGCTTATATTGCTTCATTTTGACCAGTCACGTGATGTTGGACTCGTCGGCTTTTTATTTTTAAATTGTGCTACCTGAAAAGCCTTTATAGCAGCCATACAACCGCTTTGATTAATCGATTAACTACAGCTGTTAGTTAATTATTACTATACAAATAGATAGATAGGTCTCAGCTGCAACAGACTTAAAAGATACATACATATAGTGAAGATTTTCATTACATAGGTATCTATGTATCCGTCCAACACCATTATATATATAAAACAGGCGACTTATACAGGTTTACACGCATTTCAATACCAGTGGCTTTATCAAACACATCTGTTTACGTAATTCATCATCACAAATGTTTTTCACAACAAGACACCCATTCAGCACAAGTTTCAGATTTATATTAAAATATATCAGCATATATTGACGTCTGTACACGATTATATCTAATGTGTAGAATTTGTTATTTTAGTTCAAAGTTGAACAGCGAGTTCCTGATACATTCTGGTATGTTAGTAATTAATCATATCGTTGCATTTTGTTAGATATGTGTTTCTAAAGATAGATTATTGATAAAATAAAGTATTTAGGGTCCAGCTTGTTTAATCAATCAATATATAAAGTTGACGTATACATCAAGATATATGCCTAGCTCCTATCTACATATCATCATCCTCTCGTACCACCATGTAATGATTTCATAAACATTCCAGTGAGATTCCACTCATGCCAGTTCTAATACATTGCTGAATATGTCGATTATATAAAACCTAGGTACGTTAGACAGCCGCATTGAATTGAGAAATTTATCTTATTTAACACGTGAAGATGAAATCTTCAAGGTCTACTAAATGAAAACACTAAACGTATATTATATTCTTTCACAAAGTACCACGCGAAATGTTCTCGTTTGCCGGGCGGGAAATCTTAATGACAAAAAATGGCACTTTATCAATAATGTCACAAACAGTAGCATGGATACTTCTGACGTCACATATGTTCGGGAAATGATCGTCATCTTTGGAAAAAACAAAAACCCAGAAATCAGCCATTTTTAAATTTTAAATCGTATTGAATGAGTGGAATCTCACTGGAATGTTTAGGAAATCATTACATTGTGGTACGAGAGGATGATGATATGTAGATAGGAGCTAGGCATATGTCTTGATGTATACGTCAACTTTATATATTGATTGATTAAACAAGTAATAAAGTTTGCGGATAAAATCCATTTTACTGGCTGAAGCATGTGTCATCGTTATGATTAATACATACCATCACATTCCAAAGGTCAGGTTGTCGAACCTTTCACGTAAATTACAGAGATCGTCAAATCTGAAATAACTACACTATAAAACACACACTGCAGTGTTTACTTGGGTATACCTCCAAATTATCATCTTCGACAGCCTTATCACGTCAATGCTGTATCAAAAATAAATCAAAGAGGCAAACATATTATTTTTGTACCTGTACAGAAGAATATTTGTATTGGTGTATGTTTATGTATATTAAATTGCGTGCATTAGAATACTAAGATAAGGTGTAGTTAGCTTAATGTAAAAACATTACGGTACAAGAACGGATATTAAAAATCTTTATATTTACATTTGATAATTTTGAGTTCCAAAAACATTATGAAAGCAACAAAAACACGTGACCTTATACACATTGCTAGAACAAAGTCGAGTTCAACTGAATAGCCATATCATATCGAAAGCAGTAGGTGGCGCCACTTTGGCGTCGTTGACAACGTGGTAAAATAATTCAAGGAGAAAATTATTAAATTGATATGTCTCACTTATTTTGCGAATAAATTTATGTAACATTAATATCATGTCTTTACTAGTCTTTTCACATTTAAAACACATTTATATAGAATATCATCGTTGGAAACCAACGAGGATTTTTTGCTTGTTGTTAACTCAAAGCAATGTCATGGCTAATGTACATTAGAGTTGCATGCTACCATCGCTCATTAAAAGTGTTAAGATTAATGACAGGACTGTATACACGTGCGCAAACCTGATCACCAGGCGTAAGTATCGATAAATACAAACAAAAGGTTGGTAAGCTTTATCATGAGGCTATGAAACACAAGTATAGATATGAACACGTACTACTAGAGTTACCAACACGAATGTGAATTTCACAAAGGACTTTGTGTACGATTGCGATCCGTTTCTGATGCCATCATGTTTTTCTGTGTGCTTACAGGTTTTGTGACGTATCATTTGAATAGGAACCACAAACGTGTGGATACAAACAGTATCCTTGTGCTGATTGCCGTAGAGGACGGAGAAGGGAAACACGTGACCCTGGCCGGCACGAAGGCCAACAAAGATCCCCTCAAAAATATTGGTCAGTGTGACCTCAAACTAGACGCGGACGAGAAGTTCATCGTTGGTATCAACCTGGATGGTGACTGTGTTGTGTGTAAATAGGCATCGGCAGTCCTCGCTGCTCAAATATTAACAAAACAGAAAAGAACAAAAAAACTTACGTTTTCATGGTGTAAATCGATTTGACAAACATGGATATGTTTTAACATTGTTTGGTGCCGTTGGTAAATGTTTATATTTAGAGGAAATGAGAATCTGAACCTGTAGGAAAGACTATGTCTGTCAATGGTAGCTTGATAATGCGTTGCTCGTAAATAAAGACAGATGTATATATATATGATCCTATATGCTGTTGATTTAATTATTATACAATCCTCGCCGTGAATGTTCCTCACATTTATTACACAGAGATATGGGGATCTGTAAATACACAAAGATATGGGGAACTGTAAATACACAGATATATGGGGAACTGTAAATAACAGAGACATAATACACAGAGATATGGGGAACTGTAAATACACAGAGATATGGGGAACCGTAAATACACAGAGATATCGGCAACTGTAAATACACAGAGATATCGGCAACTGTAGATACACAGAGATATTGGCAACTGTAAATACACAGAGATATGGGGATCTGTAAATACACAGAGATATGGGGAACTGTAAATACACAGAGATATGGGGAACTGTAAATACACAGAGATATGGGGAACCGTTAATACACAGAGATATGGGGAACAGTAAATACACAGAGATATGGGCAACTGTAAATACACAGAGATATGGGGAACCAGAGATATGGGGAACCGTAAAGACACAGAGATATGGGGATCTGTAAATACACAGAGATATGGGGAACTGTAAATACACAAAGATATGGGGAACTGTAAATACACAAAGATATGGGGAACTGTAAATACACAGAGATATGGGGAACTGTAAATACACAGAGATATGGGGAACTGTAAATACACAGAGATATGGGGATCTGTAAATACACAGAGATATGGGGAACTGTAAATACACAGAGATATGGGGAACTGTAAATACACAGAGATATGGGGAACTGTAAATACACAGAGATATCGGTAACTGTAAATACAGAGATATCGGCAACTGTAAATACACAGAGATATGGGGAACTGTAAATACACAGAGATATCGGCAATTGTAAATACACCAGGATATGGGGAACTGTAAATACACAGAGATATGGGGATCTGTAAATACACCGAGATATCGGCAATTGTAAATACACCAAGATATGGGGAACTGTAAATACACAGAGATATGGGGATCTGTAAATACACAGAGATATCGGCAACTGTAAATACACAGAGATATGGGGAACTGTAAATACACAAAGATATGGGGAACTGTAAATACACAGAGATATGGGGAACTGTAAATACGCAGAGATATGGGGAACTATAAATACACAGAGATATGGGGAACTGTAAATACACAGAGATATGGGGATCTGTAAATACACAGAGATATGGGGAACTGTAAATACACAGAGATATCGGCAACTGTAAATACACCAAGATATGGGGAACTGTAAATACACAGAGATATCGGCAACTGTAAATACACAGAGATATGGGGATCTGTAAATACACAGAGATATCGGCAACTGTAAATACACCAAGATATGGGGAACTGTAAATACACAGAGATATGGGGAACCGTAAAGACACAGAGATATGGGGATCTGTAAATACACAGAGATATGGGGAACTGTAAATACACAAAGATATGGGGAACTGTAAATACACAAAGATATGGGGAACTGTAAATACACAGAGATATGGGGAACTGTAAATACACAGAGATATGGGGAACTGTAAATACACAGAGATATGGGGATCTGTAAATACACAGAGATATGGGGAACTGTAAATACACAGAGATATGGGGAACTGTAAATACACAGAGATATGGGGAACTGTAAATACACAGAGATATCGGCAATTGTAAATACACCAAGATATGGGGAACTGTAAATGCACAGAGATATGGGGAACTGTAAATACACAGAGATATCGGCAATTGTAAATACACCAAGATATGGGGAACTGTAAATACACAGAGATATGGGGATCTGCAATTGTAAATACACCAAGATATGGGGAACTGTAAATACACAGAGATATGGGGATCTGTAAATACACAGAGATATCGGCAACTGTAAATACACCAAGATATGGGGAACTGTAAATACACAGAGATATGGGGAACTGTAAATACACAGAGATATGGGGAACTGTAAATACAAAGAGATATGGGGAACTGTAAATACACAGAGATATGGGGAACCGTAAAGACACAGAGATATGGGGATCTGTAAATACACAGAGATATGGGGAACTGTAAATACACAGAGATATGGGGAACTGTAAATACACAGAGATATGGGGATCTGTAAATACACAGAGATATGGGGAACTGTAAATACACAGAGATATGGAGAACTGTAAATACACAGAGATATGGGGAACTGTAAATACACAGAGATATGGGGAACTGTAAATACACAGAGATATGGGGAACTGTAAATACACAGAGATATGGGGAACTGTAAATACACAGAGATAACGGCAACTGTAAATACACCAAGATATGGGGAACTGTAAATACACAGAGATATGGGGAACTGTAAATACACAGAGATATGGGGAACTGTAAATACACAGAGATATGGGGATCTGTAAATACACAGAGATATGGGGAGAACTGAAAATACACAGAGATATGGGGAACTGTAAATATACAGAGATATGAGGAACTGTAAATACACAGAGATATGGGGATCTGTAAATACACAGAGATATCGGCAACTGTAAATACACAGAGATATGGGGAACTGTAAATACACAGAGATATGGGGAACTGTAAATACACAGAGATATGGGGAACTGAAAATACACAGAGATATGGGGAACTGTAAATACAAAGAGATATGGGGAACTGTAAATACACAGAGATATGGGGATCTGTAAATACACAGAGATATCGGCAACTGTAAATACACAGAGATATGGGGAACTGTAAATACACAGAGATATGGGGAACTGTAAATACACAGAGATATGGGGAACTGTAAATACACAAAGATATGGGGAGAACTGAAAATACACAGAGATATGGGGAACTGTAAATACAAAGAGATATGGGCAACTGTAAATACACAAAGATATGGGGAACTGAAAATACAAAGAGATATGGGGAACTGTAAATACAAAGAGATATGGGGAACTGTAAATACACAGAGATATGGGGATCTGTAAATACACAGAGATATCGGCAACTGTAAATACACCAAGATATGGGGAACTGTAAATACACAGAGATATGGGCAACTGTAAATACACAGAGATATGGGGAACTGAAAATACACAGAGATATGGGGAACTGTAAATACAAAGAGATATGGGGAACTGTAAATACACAGAGATATGGGGATCTGTAAATACACAGAGATATCGGCAACTGTAAATACACAGAGATATGGGGAACTGTAAATACACAGAGATATGGGGAACTGTAAATACACAGAGATATGGGGAACTGTAAATACACAACGATATGAGGAACTGTAAATTCATAAATGATATGGGGAACTGTAAATACATAAATGATATGGGGAACTGTAAATACACAGAGATATGAAGAACTGTAAATTAACGAAGATATGGGGAACTGTTACATGCTGTAAAATACAATGCATGTCATAAAATAAAATAAGATGTAAAGAAGTGAAAAAGGTAGTGTATTATACTTACTTATAAAACAATGGAAATGTTTAACGTTTGATATAACAATTTTGCTTCAGTCGTTATGTCAAAACATTAATTATATATAGGTACGTATGGTACCAGCAGAAAAGTCTTGTCACAAAGAAACCACATGTCAAAAGCCCTACCTGTTACGGTGTAATAGTTATAGGCAAGGTTAAAGTTGATAACAGACAAACAAACTGACAGACAAACAAAGACAGCAAAAAAACAATATGCCCCCGATCTTTCCATCCGGGGATAAAAGAATATCGCTGTAACCGTGAGTGGAATCAGCATTGAATAGAAGACTTATAATTAAACTGATTTCATTAATGGAACAACAGTTCATTCCTAGGAATCTAAATCATGACCAATGGTAAACCTTGGTCAATCCAAGTACAGTAAAACACGTTTATAACGAACCCCTAGGGTTAATTAATATCACGCTTTCGTGTGATGATAAGGTATACAATAGGCAAACTAACGAGCATCACACACGTCCAACTTTACATCGCATAAAAAAATATGATATTTACAGTTGAACGATGATGGTCAATAGGTTATTGATTTCTTTATCAAAGGTTTCTGCACATCTTCACATTCTTTTGATGCCGACAAAAGTTTATATTCGACGCAGGTGTAACAATACAAAATCCGGAATAAATAACACTGGCTTCCATTCACTAGTGAATGGTCTCAGGTATCTCGAAAAGCATTTCATTTATCATTTTACAAACATCATCCTCAAAATACATATAGAAATTCAATGTTCGTAAATTGTGTCTTCATGGGAAAGTGATAGCGGCTTGTCAATTACATGTTCCTTCTATAGATATCAACTTTCAGACGTATCTCGAGCTACGAGTACATGTAATCGTATAATGATGAGCTGTGGATATACCTGTAAAATCGCACGTTCACAAGTATTAGGTTTACCAATGCATAAACACTAACCATAATACTAAAGCAATTCAGGGTTGGAATACCAATCTGTCCTTTTCTGTAAAGATAAAAATTGCAACACGTCTTGAAAATTTTAACATAGGTATTTCTCAACAGTGATTTCTTATAATGAACTCGTCTTCTGGCCAACATTGTTATGAATCGTGAATAAATGTCTGTGAATTTTAAGTGATTAAAGAGGTACCGAAAAATGATACAATTATACGATAGCACCCAAGAACATGACATTCTGGAATATAAATAAAAAGACTGTCTTGAAAGGTACCTAAGATATGACATGGAAAGAACAATATGAATAATCTTGATGACTGGCTTTATGAAAAGCTATTCGTGGTGTGAACTCATGCAGCACACATTAGATGATGAACCTCGGTCATTAAGTTTAAGAAGCTATATTCTGTTGAGCTAAGCTCACGCATGAAATCTCAGTTGATAGATGGAATGATTTTGCAGAAACCATTGTAGGCCTCTTATCATATCAGAGGAAGGTATGGAAAAAAGATGATTCATGCAGCTTTCTTTTGGAGACATCCTAATTAGGTTTTATAGTTGTTGCCCAAACCAACAATATCATTCAAATTTGTAGACTCGAAAAGGATCTCAACTTTGTTTTTTAATTTGTTTTACAAACTGTTGAAAATTTATTATTGTCCATCTATCGAAAATGCCTACTATTCACTCTTTATAAATTTTTATTGTATTTTCATTCTTATCAACGAGATTCACCTTTTAATCTCGCGTGTTCCCCTTTCCTATGACGTAATCTCAGCTATCAGTATCAACAGCGCCCAATATAATGGGGGAAAACTGAAGATCAAGTTTGACCACAACAAGAATCAGTGCTAGACTTGAAACACTAAATTATCTTTAACAGCTGTAAATTAACGCTTAAGAAACGTATTGGTTTTGGCGTTTTGTTTCCTGGTGACGAGAACAAAATACGGAAAAACATTTATTTATGTAATTACATATAAAGAAACGTTACTAATTTATAAAACTACTGGGCGATGTGTGAAGTGGGAATACGATATTGATTTGATGTGTAACTATTTTATACACAATAGCTGAACAAATATCTAAAACAAATTTTAACTTTCACATCTGTTGCAAGTTATCAAATATAAAGATAATGAATCGGATCAGAGAGCAAGTTTCTAGAGATCGTGTCCCATTAGGAAAACATCAACTTTTGACACTGTTTCTATAGATGTCGACACAGTGATATAATGAGAGGAACGATTCCCGTTACGAAGGCTCTGTTCTGGAGTTTTGTGGCATCAATGTTGGGATTACTCTATATATCTAAAGGATATAATTATTGTGGTGAGTAATCATATGTTGGTTGTAAGATGTATTTAGATATTGAATTTTATGGAAAATACAATTATGTTGACATGTCGATTTCTGAAAAATTTGATACATTGTTTATATTATCAATAAATATGTTATTTAGAAATAGATTTTTTTTCGTGCCATAAGTAGACACTTATGTGTTTTGTATATTTGTTGAGGTGAATAATACCTTGGAGTTTACATTTTGTTATTTTATCATCACTATCTAAAACAAGATATTTTTGTTTAATATCTTTTCATTTCGATTCGTTATGTTTTACTGTTTATTGAATGGCATCAATTTTGTTTGTTCATCTTAACATTCTGTCGGTATGTATATCTTTTGCGCTGTAAATTAATGTCGAATATTTTAGGGTATTTTTGTAGGTATCACTGATGTCAGCATATTTACTATCCACTAAATGCCACAACATATGATGTTCATTTAGTAAAGCATTATTTGAAGTGTTCCTGTTTTCTCCAGAAACATACATAGGAGCGTCACGGTCCATATCAGATGACGGGGTGATCACGTCCTATCGACGTTCTCAGCAAGTGCCGACACGTTTGAACAGACTGCACTATGTCTGTCAGACGGAATGGATCAAGGATGACACACTTCGATACAACCAAACCACTACAAGGTTTGATTATTCTAAGAAGGCAAATATCTCTGTATGTAGTGTTCCTAAAGCCGGAAGTACTCTGTTCGCGTTGGTTCTTCTCGCCTTAGAGGTTCCGGCGGGAACAGACATAGAATCGATATTTCAAACAAAACGTAGTCATGTACACGCTCAAGCAGGTAGTAAATTACAACAAAGCTCAAAAGAGATGCTGCCAACGAGGAAAGTTATAGTGGCCAGGGACCCCTTCCGACGTTTGTTTTCAGCTTATGTTGACAAGGAATTAACGAGACTACCGGTATACCGCGCCAATACAAGTAAGGTGGTATGTAGCAATCGTTTGGCGTTCGATCAGTTCCTACATAATACGGTGTCCGATGGATTCAAAGGAAAGTTTATAGACCGCCATGTTGCTCCTGCTTCTCTGTTGTGTGAACCATGTGAAACAAATTACGAATTTGTGGCAAAACAAGAAACGTTGACAGAAGATCTCAGTTTTCTTCTAGAGAATATGACAACAGCACACAAACATACCAGGGACTCCATTTTGCGAGTTTTACACGGAGACGTGAACAAGAAAACTTTGATTGGTGTGATAGAAACTGTGGTGTCCCGGGCCTCCAATATTTGTAAAAACCTAGTAGACTATTTATCAACTTTGTGGACAGCGTTCAAAATGCAAGGTGTCCTACATAAAGACGCTGTGTTTCCACGGGAGGAATTTGAACAGCGTGACGCTATAGACGTTAGCTACGTCACATCTGTTGTCCTGGAAACAATGTTGGATTTTCCGCTCTCTAGCGAGGACAGGCGTAGACAGAGACAGGAAGCATTAGTACAGGCCTATGCCGGAGTCTCATCTGACACAGTGCGCGGGATACAGAATATGTACTTCAAAGATTTCTTGTTGTTTGATTATAATATCCTTCCACCCTCATAACACTTTGAGTAAGAGCCATTATAAAAATAGATCTAAGATAAAAACTGTAAAAAAAAACTCACATCTAGCGTAAATACAATAACCAAGATATAAAATATCTAAATCATCTAGAGTTAACACATCATACAATATCAAGGTAGAGAAAACACATCATACAATATCAAGGTAGAGTTAACACATCATACAATATCAAGGTAGAGTTAACACATCATACAATATCAAGGTAGAGTTAACACATCATACAATATCAAGGTAGAGTTAACACATCATACAATATCAAGGTAGAGTTAACACATCATACAATATCAAGGTAGAGATAACACATCATACAATATCAAGGTAGAGAGTAACACATCATACAATATCAAGGTAGAGATAACACATCATACAATATCAAGGTAGAGAAAACACATCATACAATATCAAGGTAGAGTTAACACATCATACAATATCAAGGTAGAGTTAACACATCATACAATATCAAGGTAGAGAAAACACATCATACAATATCAAGGTAGAGTGAACACATCATACAATATCAAGGTAGAGTTAACACATCATACAATATCAAGGTAGAGTTAACACATCATACAATATCAAGGTAGAGTTAACACATCATACAATATCAAGGTAGAGTTAACACATCATACAATATCAAGGTAGAGTTAACACATCATACAATATCAAGGTAGAGTTAACACATCATACAATATCAAGGTAGAGTTTACACATCATACAATATCAAGGTAGAGTTAACACATCATACAATATCAAGGTAGAGTTAACACATCATACAATATCAAGGTAGAGTTAACACATCATACAATATAACACATCATACAATATAGAGTTAACACATCATACAATATCAAGGTAGAGTTAACACATCATACAATATCAAGGTAGAGTTAACACATCATACAATATCAAGGTAGAGTTAACACATCATACAATATCAAGGTAGAGTTAACACATCATACAATATCAAGGTAGAGTTAACACATCATACAATATCAAGGTAGAGTTAACACATCATACAATATCAAGGTAGAGTTAACACATCATACAATATCAAGGTAGAGTTAACACATCATACAATATCAAGGTAGAGTTAACACATCATACAATATCAAGGTAGAGTTAACACATCATACAATATCAAGGTAGAGTTAACACATCATACAATATCAAGGTAGAGTTAACACATCATACAATATCAAGGTAGAGTTAACACATCATACAATATCAAGGTAGAGTTAACACATCATACAATATCAAGGTAGAGTTAACACATCATACAATATCAAGGTAGAGTTAACACATCATACAATATCAAGGTAGAGTTAACACATCATACAATATCAAGGTAGAGTTAACACATCATACAATATCAAGGTAGAGTTAACACATCATACAATATCAAGGTAGAGTAAACACATCATACAATATCAAGGTAGAGTTAACACATCATACAATATCAAGGTAGAGTTAACACATCATACAATATCAAGGTAGAGTTAACACATCATACAATATCAAGGTAGAGTTAACACATCATACAATATCAAGGTAGAGTTAACACATCATACAATATCAAGGTAGAGTGAACACATCATACAATATCAAGGTAGAGTTAACACATCATACAATATCAAGGTAGAGTTAACACATCATACAATATCAAGGTAGAGTGAACACATCATACAATATCAAGGTAGAGTGAACACATCATACAATATCAAGGTAGAGTTAACACATCATACAATATCAAGGTAGAGTTAACACATCATACAATATCAAGGTAGAGTTAACACATCATACAATATCAAGGTAGAGTTAACACATCATACAATATCAAGGTAGAGTTAACACATCATACAATATCAAGGTAGAGTTAACACATCATACAATATCAAGGTAGAGTTAACACATCATACAATATCAAGGTAGAGTTAACACATCATACAATATCAAGGTAGAGTTAACACATCATACAATATCAAGGTAGAGTTAACACATCATACAATATCAAGGTAGAGTTAACACATCATACAATATCAAGGTAGAGTTAACACATCATACAATATCAAGGTAGAGTTAACACATCATACAATATCAAATATCAAGGTAGAGTTAACACATCATACAATATCAAGGTAGAGTTAACACATCATACAATATCAAGGTAGAGTTAACACATCATACAATATCAAGGTAGAGTGAACACATCATACAATATCAAGGTAGAGTTAACACATCATACAATATCAAGGTAGAGTTAACACATCATACAATATCAAGGTAGAGTTAACACATCATACAATATCAAGGTAGAGTTTACACATCATACAATATCATGTTAGGTGACAGAGTAAAATCAAAGCTGGACAAATACAAAGAATAATTCAATAACTTTCTAAAATTCTAATATTGAAAAAAAAGTGATTTGATATGACAAATTTCTATACATTATATGGATACATTATATAATCAATAAAACACAAGATACGTAGAAATGTTAACTAGTAGATAAGATATGGTAGTTGGACTGGTGGACAGATAACTCAATATGTCAGGTAACTGGCTGAGTTGAATAATAAAAATAATGTTAAAAAAGTAACAAAAAAAAAAAAAAAAAAACACTGAGAGGAAAATCAGCAAATACGAAAATGCAACTTCACCCGTGTGATGAACCAGGGAATTATTGTAAGTGTGAAATGATGCCTGAGAAATACCTCTGTTTATCTCGTAACCCAACAGACATATTTTTGAACTCACCAACAACGTCTTTATTTAGAGTTGTCAAGGTATGAGTACAGATGTCCTAATTGAAATATAGTAAAAACGCTATACAACAAAGCTTTCCCAAACTGACTTCTCCGTTTTTTTATTATTATGAAAACATTGACAAAAACATTAAGGTCAAAGAAAATTCCGCTACACGGAAATAACCTTTAAAATGGCAGAAGAAAACTTCAGTATATTATCTAGGAAGTTCTTTTTAAAAATTCAGATAGTTTATACGAAAGGTAAATGCTTAAAAATGGTTAAAAAATTTCACGGTTGCCATGATGAAGATCATCTGTTCAGACTCCATACTATCACCTCAATATATATCCTGTATGGTCACTCGTTATCACTCTCCTGGCGTGTTTATTTGATACATGTATCTGGAGGTGAAAAGGTCAGAGGTCAACATTTCCAGCATAGGTTTTTCAGAACCCTTGTAAATAAATACTAGAGAAAATTGTTTTGCGAGCGTGCTTTTTTTCTTTTCCTTTTGAATTGTAAAGAAGACGTACGAATTCTTGAATATTTTCATATAAAAATGTACATATTCAAAAGACACTAAAGTGATTGAACCTTTTAATACCAATATTGTATAAAAAATATACAACTAACAGCTCTTATACATACAAAGATTGTGTTCAAAAGACAAGTGTTAGCACTTTACCATACAAAGATTGTGTTCTAAAGACAAGTGTTAGCACTTTACCATACAAAGATTGTGTTCTAAAGACAAGTGTTAGCACTTTACCATACAAAGATTGTGTTCTAAAGACAAGTGTTAGCACTTTACCATACAAAGATTGTGTTCTAAAGACAAGTGTTAGCACTTTACCATACAAAGATTGTGTTCTAAAGACAAGTGTTAGCACTTTACCATACAAAGACTGTGTTCTAAAGACAAGTGTTAGCACTTTACCATACAAAGATTGTGTTCTAAAGACAAGTGTTAGCACTTTACCATACAAAGATTGTGTTCTAAAGACAAGTGTTAGCACTTTACCATACAAAGATTGTGTTCTAAAGACAAGTGTTAGCACTTTACCATACAAAGATTGTGTTCTAAAGACAAGTGTTAGCACTTTACCATACAAAGATTGTGTTCTAAAGACAAGTGTTAGCACTTTACCATACAAAGATTGTGTTCTAAAGACAAGTGTTAGCACTTTACCATACAAAGATTGTGTTCTAAAGACAAGTGTTAGCACTTTACCATACAAAGATTGTGTTCTAAAGACAAGTGTTAGCACTTTACCATACAAAGATTGTGTTCTAAAGACAAGTGTTAGCACTTTACCATACAAAGATTGTGTTCTAAAGACAAGTGTTAGCACTTTCCATACAAATATCGTCCAAAAGAGGAATGCAATCACCTGTCTAAATAAACATTGTTCAAAGCACACCCAAGTGACAGCACCTTTTTATACAAAGATTTACAAAGAGTACACAAACGGAAGTATCTTTCCATACAAAGATTCTGCGAAAGACAAACAGATTAAAGGTTCAATTGTTTCTGTTACACGACATAAACTTTAATTTAATCATAAGTAAGAGCATGAAGACACTTTAACATGTTACAATTACCGATGGAAAACCATTGGATTAAATAATGTGTGAGGTGTGCGGATCAAATTGAAATTTAATTGTGATTAAATGATATATTTTGTATATTTTCGTGGGGATAAATTTTCGTGGATTAAAAATAATAATATTTCGAATAAATGCGATTTATATGAAATGTTGTAAAATTGAATTTATATGTCTGTGCTTAAACATTTCATGTTGACAATGTGATTCTATTATTGTGAAGTGACGTCATCGTAACGCTTTCGATTGTACATATATAACTACCACACTGACAGTAACAGGAAAGTGCCAGGGATGTGGTTGTACATTATACACGTGCCTGTGGCTTTGATTAGGTCTGCATGGGTTGTATCCCTTTGTATACCTACAATCTTGTGAAATTTCATTTTGTTTAACATAATTGTTATATACTATGACTGTGTTTTCGGCATTGCATTAAATTTGGACAGACAGTCGTGGAAAGCATAGCTCTGTCTATCTTTTGGTGTAATTATTGATCTACGGCTAAAGCTTGTGTTTTTTGTAACTTTTGAAAAATAACGAACTCGAGTTGAATAAATTCAATATACAATGACCACTTGTTGTGTAACCTTTATATATGTAATGGTTGTTATATAGGATACCTG